GTAATGGAATAGTATTGTACAAAAGGAAAATTGAACAACCTAGTTCAAGTACGTTAACTGATAATACGACTTTGAGAATTATTTGGAAAAACTCAAACTGATAAAGCAATTTTTTGTCAGACGTAGCTTGTCTCCCTTTCACATCTAAATTGATTTTGTATGTATGTGTGTATTTGGAATTTTTTGGGTCGTTAGTCAGAGTTTGCCGGCCAGCTAACGGTGTCAGCGGTGTCAGCCAGCGGTGTCCCCCATGCCTGATTCTCGTTAAATTCCCCTGAGAAATAGGTTTGAAGTGCAATAAATGTTCATGAATATACAGTGTTCAAAAAAATCCGACATATAATTGTGGAGAGAAACCGCTAAAATGACACCTAAATTGCCTTTATACGTTTTTGGGTGAACGCTGATACTCACTCCGAAAGTAACGGTGGTCTTGAGGCCTTCCATGGCGGTGGCGTTGGAAGGGCGCTGAGGAGCAGAGTGCTTCTGACGATTAGAATTGAGCTTATATAGTGATTTACTGGACTCCTGTTTAAGCAATTATGAAATGAACTTACGTTTCCTTTTTTACACTCCGTTACATTCCAAGCAAAAATTGACTTCCGATTCAAATTATCGGTTGAAACGTTTTCGATTCCAATTGGATAATGGTCCAGGATGAAACATTACTGCACTGGAGAGATTTTTGTTCTGAATATGGCGTTATTATTTTTTTTTGTTATTACTCTGTTTTGTAATTTAAAAATTCACTAATGGTATTTAAGAGAAATCTTTTAATTTTGAGTCATTATTACTTAATGCCATGGTAGATTTTTGAATATTAATTCTTAAGTTTCTTCTTCTTTATAGACAAACGCTCCAGTACGAAATGAGGAGCATTCCTGTAGGAATGCGGCGAAGCTTCTATAGGTTCCTGGTACTGATGAATAATTAACATCAATTAATGTGGACATTATTGCATGATTAAATGTTAATTTAAATGTTATCTTTTTCTCTATTTCTCTAAATGTTCTCCCTAAATGACATTAGTATTACCGCGTAGTCTATAACAACAATTATTTAAGCTGTTATACTCGAAAACTTTGATCGAAATGTGTAATATATCCTTAGTTGTTAAGTTTAATATGTTATTAAATTTTGATTGGTTGGAAACTCAAATTTTCCTCTTTGTTTTCGTGAATTACACGTGCTGGCTTTTATGAGTTAATGCAATTTCATTTTTTATTGTATTCATACGTTGAAGTACTTGTCCATTTTGTTTTGCATTGCTTTGATCTTTGTGGAAAATATTTGCGTGTTAGCGGAAGAAACTTTAGAGATAAAACATATATCCTACTTACCTAGAGGCGTATATTTTTTATTTACTCACAATATTTCTAGGGTCGGGGTGTTAATGCAACGTAGAATGAAAGCCAAACTGCAATGCAATCTGTGTACTTTGCGACGATATTGAAAATTGGATCCCAGCCTTTTAAAAAGCTGCGGTACGCGAAAGATGAAGAGGAAAATTAATGGGAATGGATAACTATTTTTTCTAGAACTATTACCACCACATAGAAGCGTAGGCTAACGCGTGTTCAGAACATCCTAGATCGACTGGAGTGGAAATAATCATTGTTTACTTATTTACTTAATTAAGTTAATCAGTGATTAAGTTAGTAAGTAAATAATAAGTAAATCAGGAAATAATTTTTGAGCACATTAGGGGGGAAATGGAAGTGGGTGTCCGGACGTAAGCGCAGAGGTGAGGGTGCGGATGACCTTCGCTGGCGCTGTTTCATTCTAATACTTCGTTGGCCACAGACAAGAAGGCGAAGAGGTTTCTTCCGTTGTAGAAAATAAATAGTTTAGAAAGTGTTAGGAAGATTAGCATGAGCTCGTCTTCTGACGACAGGATTTTTCCTCTGCAGGTTTATTTACTTTAACAGTATCATATGTTCCCTTTTCCTTTGGCTTTGATGTGATTGGGAGGCCACCTGGTGTGAATATCAGAATTCGAAAAGTTAGAACGCGAAGGTTTAACTGATGACTTAAAGGCCTTCGACCTAGTTACATAGAATCCGGTTTTGTAGTTTACATGTGTAACAATTACATATTTATTATTAATAATAATAATAATAAAATGGAACTGTTGTCAATTATTGCCATTGATGATATCTACATATTCTCGCTAACTTCGTTGAAAGTAAGCATTTAACCTGTTTACCACATTACACAGTTGATAATATCGTCTCGAATTAAACGTGTTCTATGATTCTAGAATGGTTCTGCTGCTGTGTAAGGAACTTGACTATCAAATGTCCCTTTTTAACATTCCATAGAATGATCGCCACTCTTTATATATCGTAATCACCATGCACTGTATGTTATGATGTACGTACCATTTACTGTACAAATGACATTTTAAGCTAATTGTCCTATTATACCAGAGTTAACGTTACTAAGTCCACAAGTAACTCAATTTTGAGTTCACTAAAACTTTCGAATTGTGAACTTGTTTGGGTCTCTTGATGAAGACAGTGATGTAAGTGGTACACTCTTACATCAAATTTTGTCAATGCACGAATTTTAAACTCAAAAAGCGATGTGAATAGACTAAATTATCGAGATCGTTGGTATTTCTAATCGCCGACTGAAATAAAAAATCCACATCACGTTTGCTCAATTACCAATTTAATTCGATATTTGCGAGTGTACGAAATATTCGTGGTACAGTGTGGGTGGTAGGAACCAACAATAAGTTTGCATTACTTGAGTGTTCAGGGAATGTGAATTTCTTTGCCAATACTTTAAATTTCAAATAGCTCTTTTACACATCCCTAAACCAATGAGATTTAACAATAGAATTGGAACCTGATTACAAAACCCAAGCGGGAATCCTCTCCTATTATAATTGAATTAAGTTAAATATAATTTAGTAAGCAATCAATACATATCTTAAGTTACTTTATATCATCTCATCAAATACCAATAAATTTTAGGTATGTAGTATGTATATAAGTACTTTGGCACAAGAGCTCTTTAGGAGCTAAGGCCTTCCAGCAGCGTCCCTGCCTTGCGTCCGTGGGTTAAGGGGTACATGTGGTTAGCATGTAGCTATCTCTATGCTTATTCTGGTCTTCTTAACCTGAGAAGTAAGCTTTCTCATTGTCATACAGCAACAGATACTAGGACATTCCAAGGAAGGTGTACAATTAATTTTAGCCCCGGTCGGGAATCGAACCGGGTTTTCGCCTTGGAAAGCGTGCACACTAGCCAATGAGCCACGCAGTGCTACAATACATTAAATTTAAGAAAATAAATTGCTTCAGATTTCGAGGCATTTTTGTTTGTCAGAGAAACGTGCGTATTCTTCGTTTTACGATTTGTTTAGTGAATGCAAGAAAATAAATTTCTATTTTTTCACAATTTGTTTTGTTTATCCTCTTAAATATTAGTATACTGTGACGGAAAGTGATTTGTTTTATGACTTTCGAACATTCTTTGTACTTGGCATTTTAGTACAGCTTTACATTTGTTGCACTTTTTGGTAACGTAGGCAAAAAACGCAGCACACTTTGTATTGATATTTATGTACTTTTTTTTTTAAATGTAAGGTTTCTGTTAGTACTTACACAATATTACTTTTTATTTTTCCGTGTATACGGAGTAATATACATAGTATAGAAAAAGTAATATACTGCTGCTCGAAAAAACAGCGGATTTTCGTCAGAAAAAAATCATTGTCAGGCCCCGAGTATGAAAAAAAGGATAAATCCACTTGTTAAATTAAGAAAGAAAAATCCTCCAACACGTGATGTAACCAGAATCCCGATTGCATGGGTCCCTATTTATTTATTTACATCAAAAGCAGTTAAAAACTGAGACGTGCTATGGGGAGAAGTTAATTTGAAGTTACATTTATATCTTAATACCGAAAAACCAACTGAGGGCAAAACGTCTGTCGGTCTGTTAACACCACAAGCGCCTAAATCGTACGTACTATTTTTTCCAAAATTGATATTTCGTTGTCAATCTGGCTCCACTCGCGGCGTTGTGTTTGTAAAAAACATTCTTCAAAATTTGGAGGTATTTTACATGACGCCCGCCGGACATTTTCAAAATTTTCTCAAAAATGGCTCCGAATTTTTCTTTAAATCTCTTGTAAGAATTAAGTAAAATATACTTATAAAGGTGGCATAAATATTATTTTCACGAGTTGCTAAAATATGCACATTTCTAGCGATTTGTAAACACCATTGCATTTGTGGCTGGAAGTTCTTCAAATGATGAATGAGTTCTACAAATGTATTACGTCATTCACGACGACAAAGTTTTTCGGAAATTCAATACTTTTCTGCGAATAGATGTTCAAATTTTGCATTTACAGTAGCGCTTAAACGCCATTTTTTAAAAACGGTTCCACAGCTTTCAAAGAAAATTGCTATTTAGGGCGAGATTTTACTGTTTTTTAAATTCTTGAAATAACATTTCCGTTCTATTATGAATCCGAAAAATTAAGAAAGTTTCAGAAAGTGTACTGGGCGGTGATGGCAGTTGGCAAGAGTATGTGGTGAGTTCGAATAGCTAGCCGAGACCAAAGAAAATAGAGAACTATATATTTCGTTTATACAACCTGTCCAAATTTCTAAGGCTTAACCACGTACGATGATGTAAATGTTGAAATTGTATGGGAAGAAATAACGCTAGTAAACGAATCTTTTGTCTTAAGTCAAAAAGAAAAGGTTCATGGGGAAAATGAAGTGATTTCGACTTATTATTGATTCGAATACTCATATTTACTAATTAAGCTATACTACCTAATAAAAACAGAATTATTTATCAAAAACTATTCATTGATTTCGGTAGCTTTGTTGAAACATATTCTTACTTTCAGAAAGTCATTTTTTCGTGTTTTTCGAGTAAATTCGTATTCCACATCGGTGATAATTCGGGAAATGTTGAGGTGTGTAGGTAAAAATGAAGGTGTTTGTAGATATTTAATAATGATTTTACAAACAGCTTTTTATATACACACGACTCTTTTTAATGTTCTTCTGTAACTTCCATTCGCAAATGTGTTCCGTTCATGACACAAATGTTCTCTTCAGTTGAAGTTCCCTCCGAAGAGAGCATCCATCAATTCTTGGTCATCCTCGAATATACTCGCGTCCTCTAGGTCCCGCTTCCTGCGTTCACCTCCCTCTTCCTTCTTGTTCTTTCCTTTTGCTTTTCCTTTTCCTTTGCACTTGCCTTTGCCCTTGCCATGTTTGCCGCCTTGGCCTTTGCCCGATCCGTTGCATTCTTCGTCTGTCGCCTCCTCGGGTGAAGAGGTGCTCATGGGCATTTCTGTAGTGACGTCTTCTCGTTTTTGACGACCTGTGAAGAAACATCCGACATTAAACATGAGATTTAAATTAAAAGTTTTATTTACTTTTCTCTTATTTGATACATAAAAGCATTAAGAACGTTTCAGAAAATAATTATTTCCATCTCCAGGCGTTTGTAATGTCCATCTCAACTTTCTTTTATTCCCAATAATTTAGATTTATTCCAACGACATACCCTCATATGATATCATACTGAGAAGTTTTTATCGAGGTGCGTTCCGTATAGTGACGTGTGTACATATTATATAATAATTCTGTTTAAACCTGACCATTGTTTAAAATATTATATTGTGTGTGTGTGTGTGTGTGTGTGTGTGTGATGTGTGATGTAACACAGTAATCCCAAAACAATTTTATGTCTTTAAAGTAAAAGACGAAATAGTCTGACAAAAATTAGATTTGTTGTTTTTCTGGACTGCTTCAAAGGATATTCTAGATCTCCCGTATTTTGATTTGAATAGGTCTTGAAGAAGGAACCTCAATAAAATTTTCACTTTCTGTTGTATCAAGGCAATATAACTGATAGGAAGTTTAGCATGTTTAACTGTTCTTTCAAACTGTATATACATTTTTTTAATTATGAAATCGCATTGCGTGTATTATTTGTTTAAAAATTGAACCACTGTTTAAATTAACGTTGTTACTCTACAGGTTTTATAATTTATGTTTGCAATTAAATTATCCCATTTTTTCTTAGTGGCTTTGCTCTAGAGACTTGCGTTTTGACGTAAATGGCGACTTTAATTACACACCAAAACGGGTACACCTTTCTAATATACTTTTTTCTATTCAACTTCTTTTTACCTGCTACTCCGCTCTCCCTGGCTTCATATTCTGGGTGTGCCTCACAAGCAACATACAGCAGAACCACGAGGGCTACCTACGAACACATGGTAAAGAAAGGACAGTAACATTATGCTCACAACTGATATGATAAAACTTATTCTTATTACAAGAATTTTATGGCATTATAAACAATTCTTTATGGTCTTAATCGGGATTATTTACGAAAATGGTGTTAAATATATTTTCCTGAATCAGTTCCGCTTTATAATTGTAGTTCCGCTACGTAATGTTAAAGTTCAGAAAATCTGATGTTTGTTTTACGGCATTTGGAAATTTCGTTCTTGCAATACTTTCCATTGCAGATATAACAAACAAGTGTCCTGACATTAGGTCACTGTGAGCGATCTGGCACTTTGAAGGGCGATTGGAAGAAAACGGCGTTAGATACTTTTAAACGCGCTCTTTTAAAATACTTTATATGTATACTATAATTGAAAGGAAACACCCAAGCTGGTTGCCACGCAGCTTCGTTGGCACTCGTGGTTCTCCATCGTATTCATATTTTCCATAAGCGTTTGTGTTGCGTATCCTTTACGACGTACCAACCTTTCGGCACAAACTTTCTGCTAGTATGCACAGTGCAACAACAATAATGTGTTTTACAATTTGGAAGGTCATATTTTCGTAGTTCATTGATTATCGTTTGTAATATTCGAAAGGAATGAATTTGCTTGTCTCCCTTTTTAGCTGAAACCTTCAGCACTTTATTTTCGTGTTTGGTTAACGTAGGAAATTTCTGCGTAGTTATGCAAATGAAATTATACTAGCATAAATGTGATAACTTAAAAAAAATAATGCGTTAATATTTTGTACTGTCTCGCTACTTCGTAGCGAGAAAGTTATGAAATGTTGCGCCAACAAAAACTGGCAAATTTTCTTCAGAACTATTTATTTCAGAGCCTTGGTAATGAAAAAATGGATACATCCTGTTGCTAAATTTAGAAAAAAATTCTCAATCACTTACTTTAGCCAGAATCCATGTTGCGGGTCCTCTTTACTGAAAAACAGAATGACGGCAAAACGTCTGTCCGTCCGTCTGTCCGTCCGTGTCTGTCCGTCCGTGTCTGTCCGTCCGTCTGTCCGTCCGTGTCTGTCCGTCCGTCCGTCTGCCCGTCCGTCTGCCCGTCCGTCCGTCCGTCTGCCCGTCCGTCCGTCTATCCGTCCGTCTGTCCGTCAGTCCGTCAGCCTGTCCGTCCGTCTGTCCGTGAACAACGCTCGCGGCTAAACCGTTCTGCTCACTTTTTCCGAAATTAATATTTCCCAATCGATCTGAGTGATGTCGCAGCTTCTGGAATTTCAAACCGATATTTTAATTTTGGGGGGTACTTTCGTGAAGTCACTGGGACATTTTAAAAAACAATGGCTCCATCGATTTTGATTAAATTTTGTAGTTGGATAATTTGAAGAACCCATTACGTATACTTTTCTAAAGAGTTATCATTCATTTATTTTGAAATATTTATTTATTTATTGAAGGTCACTTTTTAACTTCTGAGGTCATAAAGCGATCACTGCAATTTACATAGTTTTTGGAACTTGGTTAACATTGGTTGTACAACACAAACATCCGTGCTTCGGGCGGGATTCAGACCCGTGACCCTTCAGACACGAAAACTTGTCGACTTTGATTATCCGGCCGGCCTATTTTTCTTGCTTTGCTGCTTAAATTTACAACTGTTCTTTGCTCGTCTATCGTAAGTTCTCTTCAGGGTGAAACTTGAAAACATTATATCAGGTTACCTTTAGATGAGGTATCCTAATAAAGTAGTTACCATTGAACTTAACTAACAAGCAATTAAATTTGATAAAACGACGAGTTGCGTATAAAAAAATTAGAATCTCCCAGCTGATGCGAAACAGTTCCGGTCTCTGCTAGAGATCTCTGCAAAAAGATTTTACTCGTAGTGGAGCCTGAGTTTCAAATAGTCCTCATCTTGATGAGACTTAATAGCTGATTTTAATTTTGTGTTTTTTTTAGTAAATTTTTTAGTTTCTTATTTCTACATTCGTTAATGCCATGATCACACACACAATTTTTCTCGGGGGAGCGCTGGGCTGGTGTGGCTAAGGTATCATGTCTGTCCTGATGTTTGTAGAATTTTTCACTTAAGCGAACTATAATGTAAAATGTATGCTTAATTGTTAATATTTATAACGCAAATAATTGATAATTTAGATGACTTTCGTAGATATAGAAAATGAGTTAAATGTATATTTTTTTTATGTATCATTGGCTTTTGGGGGGACTGAAGACTAATGACCTTGGATGTGCGCTGGTTAATATAGATTATTTAAAGTTTGGAATCATCATAATAACATTCAAAATAAATCATAGAGTTCATCCAAACTAGTGGTAAGTAGATCATGTCACAAACCTCCTTATATTATTTGCAACGTTTACGTAATATACTAATAATTATTACAGTGCGATTTATGTACTTGTAATATTTCAGCTATCGTGTGAAAGTCTGCCCTCATCAAACTGCTTGAAACAAAACAGTCTATGTCTATTATCTGATTTCGTTTAAAGCCCACACTGCAAGTAAATTGATCTCTTCGTTTACGTCATGGACAGTGTTGTGCTTAGTGCTATTGTGTTTAGCTTTTTGATGTGATTTAGTGAATATTTATGGTACATAATTGATGTTTTGGGGAATCAAACAGTTTTATCAGATTTAATGGACATTTTTTAAACAGTATTTAAAACCATGTTAAAGAAATTTTGAAAACAATTTTTAACGAGTTTTCTATAGTTGAAATTTTATTTTATACTTTTTTACTTTCTCATTCGCAATAGAAAGAAAATATTGCAATGCTGGAAGAAAAAAAAGTGACTATTTTGTAACAGAAAAAATAGTGTCGTGTGTCTCTGATAACAAATATGTGGATAATTCTGGACCAATTTAGTAGTAAATTATTTCCTCTAATATTTTATTGCCAGTTTATTCACCTTAATAAAACAGATTGAGTTTTTGATCTAATATTTGTTTCATGTTATTTAAAAATCGCAGTCTGCTTTATTAAGAATAAGAAACTTACAATAGAATAAACATTATAACAAACTTGAAAATATTCATTTTAATACTTCCTCTAATACTTTTATAAACAGAATCCACGTTTTCAGGGTTCTTGATACCAGAAAATTGGTTTTTGTTGGTTTTCAGTAAAATATGTTTATCTAAGGGCGACACTAACCTCTAAACCTTTCACAGAATTTTCTCCAAAATTTATACTATTCGGTCGGTCCCCCCCAACACCCTGCGAATTTGAAAGGGATATTTTGTTTTTGGGGTATTTTATATGAATCCTCAACGAACACTTAAATTATAGTAAATTCTCTAAAATAGATAATTTTTCAAACTTCTCAAGTAATTAAAAATAACTACAAAAAATTGTTCGTTATCTGATGCGGTTATACGAGTATCTAACGGTCAAAGTATTAACAAAATTATTTATTGATATTAGCCTTTTAATATTGCGAATAATGTCACTAGAACACAAATAATATTGTAATTAGTACCTCTATACAGTGTTAAATACTTGAATGTACACAAAATGAGACACAAATTTGTATTTTTTTTAACATGGCTCACCAATCAGAAAAAAATCCAGAAGATAGCTGATTTTAGGGCAGCATTTGAGAATTTTCTCGTGTACCCGGCGCAATAATAACTTTCTTTAAAGAAATTCCAAAATTTTCAAATCCCTTTAAAATTTTGAATTTCCCGAAAAAATAATAATTTAAAAATTATTTATTTTAAAATTAATGAAATTTCGTATAAAGAATCATTACATATTTTCCATGGAAATTCATACGGCCAATTCAATGAAAAAAACGAAAACATTTTTCGTTATTACAGATGTGCGGTGGGAGGAATCTAAAACGTCCATAAAAATGTGTTTTGTGGTCACAATCTTTAGAAAAATTGTATTTTCGATTTCAATCGGGGGCACGTTTTACCATTTCATCCGGCTAGAGCCTTTGCGAAGTTTTAATCAATAATATAAACTTGAGGTAAAGATGTTAAAAGATATTTTGAATCTGAGTTATGTTGTTCATTATCTGATTAATTTGACACACTTATTGTTATTAGTATCTAATCAATTAATAAATCAATATAGTTAATTAACTATTTATTATATAAATTATTCATTATATTTATTTTGGTATTACTCTCAAAGCGATATAAATATAGTATTCTTACGGTAAAATGAATGCCTCACTTGAATAGACAGAAATATGTCATTCTGAGAGAGTGCAATATATTTCGGGAGAATTTATTGTTAATAACTTAGTGAATTTTCATCACTTTAAAATTGAAAGTAGGATCAGACAAAACTGATACACAATTCATTAACTTATTAAAGAGATTGTATGCTCAGAGCTTCCGGTGCCTAGAGATGGCTTCATTTAGGATCGTTATTGTAAACAATATCATGGAACTGTTTGATACGAAGTGAACTTGTAGGATTGGATTTGTTCAAAGAATTGGTCACTCCGACTCATTCGAACCCGGGTCTCCTAGTTTATACCTTGTTGCTCTGACCACTAAGTTATCGAGACAAGCTATTCTTTCAACAGTTTCACAGACCTGATATACTGTCGTTTATGATATTTCATAAAAGTGACAGGATGGTGACAATTATTGTATGTAAAAAAATATGAGAGAGATATTGTTTATCGTAATACGCGACGATGTACGCACATATTTATGTAATTTAGATTTCTTACCGTAATGCCTACTGCCTTGGTAGACCAAGCCATTTTGTGAGGATTTCACTAGATTCCACAAGTGTAAATATGACCACTGCAATACTACTAACAGGAGGAGAGAACAAAAATGTATATATATGGCCAAGTGATAAATAAAAAACGATGCATTTCACAGGAAACTGTTACGAAATCTTCACAGTCCGTTTGGCCGGGGAGCTTCAACAAATGCCACATTGAACAAAAAAAGATTCTGAATGTGTATGTGCGCTGTATCCTTTGTATATTTTTATGGAAGTCGTTAGTATTTGTGCAATGAACCTGATGTAAATGAAGGAAAGGTTTTACGCCATATTAGAACGGAAGGATGACGAAATACATTTGGTGTGATAAAATATTTAAAACTAAATGAAGGCAAAATCCGAGAAATGAACCGAATAATAAATATTTATGTTAATAGCATACAAGAATGAACTGGTTCATCCAAACAAGAATAGTCTGCAGTGCCTAGGTATAATAAACAACTCAATTTGATAGTTAAATACGGCATTGATATATTATAAATATGAAGCAGAGGGAGTTAAGTAGAAAAAAATGTTTATATTCTGCCTCAGTGGCAAAATGTGCATATTAATGATATTCGTATTATGTTGATCATCTTAAGTCTTGTTTTAAACAACTCAGGTTAAGCTGCTTTTCTTAAAAGATAATAGAAACAGAATGAAATGCAAAATGTGTGGCCATTTTTGTCAATTTTTTAAAAAAGTATTAAAGACTTTTTATATATAAATGAAATTTTTTTTGGGGAAATAACAAAGCGTTTTCAGACTCTTAACTATGAATTTTGAAAATACCAAGTGGTGCTACAACATTACTTTATTTCTTAAATTACGTGTACCTGGTCGCATTATTTCCATCACATCGTAGATACAAGCAAAGATAATTTCACATATAAATTGAACATCGCAACTAGCGACCATCCAATATATCTCGTTAAATATGCATTCGAAACGACGATATCATTACCTTATTCATATCTGTATGTACATTTGTCATTACTTGAGTAAATTTTTAATCTTGAAATGGCAATTTTTTTCATAGAGAACATGAAACACTATTATTAAGTAAATAAAACCCACTTGTTTCCTACCATGCTGCCGTTCAACAATGAACTTTTCAAAAATCCATTGCTGCATTGTTGCGCAAGGCAACGTATTGTGGTAATATCAAATTAAAGTTAAATTAAAATTCGTTCAACTTTATGGTACTCAATTTTTTTTGATTTTTCGTTCATATTACATTTAAATCGTATTTTTAAGGAAAAAACCCCTAATTCTAATCAAAATTTCTGTGTTGATTGAAAGAAAATACATCAATACATTGAGAATTCAAATTGTAGAATAGACTGAAAATATTGATATTGGGATTATGATTTGTAAATGGTTAAAATTAAATAATTTTTCATATTGTTTTAATCCACCTTCTTCCTTCTCTCCGATGAATTGTCTCATGTTGGTGGGACACCTGAATATATTTGATGAATTTTAGGACGAAATTAACGAAATGTACTAACTTTGTCATTTTTGTCTTGTCATTTTTAATAAGCTGAGTTTTTAGAACAGATTTCAATATATATATTTATATTATTGCATGTCTCCATCTTCAATTTGTAGTTTTTGCTATTTTCGAGAATGTGGAGAGTTCAACGAAAATGAGACTTCGGCCATTCTTTTAAGCATCCCAACGATTTTTGAGAAAATATGTTTTTAAGAAATTGGGTAATTTTCAAGCGCATTTACGCGATTTAATTTTTTTGAATGTACATGACCTCTTTTAAGATATGACTTTGTACATCAAACTTTGATGCAAAAGTCTCTGCCTTCAATTTTGTAGTTTTGAAATGTGAACTTTTTGCGATTTTCGAAAAAAGGGTAAGAGAGCCGAAAATGGGACTAGCATCATATTTTTACCGTCCCATTATTACTTATGTGGAGACAATTTAAAGAAAAAAATAGGTGAAGTTTTTGTAGACAATAATTGTTTTTTAAAATTGTCTAAATTTCCCGCAAAACTACACGAAAACTACTCATTTTTGAAAAATTGTAAGTAACCTTATTTCAAGATTTGTCTTTAAGAAGCAGATTTCATAAAGGAAAAAAATTAAATCTCGATCTTCAACATTATGTTTGTAGGAATACGTCAAAAATATTTGAAATTTTGCAATTTTCGAAAATCAGATATTTCAACAAAATTCACACCCGCATCATTCTCTTCGGCGTTCATTTCTCTATTCTACAACTGAATTTATAAAAAAAGGTGCTTTTTAAAAAAAAGAATTAAAAATGTCCGAGGGACTTCATGTAATATACCCCCGAAAATTAAAATATCAATCTCAAATTCCAGTGGCCGCGACATCAGCCGAATCGATTGGGATATATCAATTTTGGAGAAAATAGGTTGAACACTTTAGGCCCTAGCATTGACCACAAACGGACGGACAGATAGCCGGCTTTTTGTCGGCAATCGATGTTTCGGAATTAGGGATTCCGATTCAGGATTAGGGATATTTAAATTTGTTTTATAACCAAAGAAGCTGTATACACACAGCAAAAAATAGATTGAATTCAATTTGGGGTTTACGTTACAGTTGCACGTGGCATTGACTATGAACGATTTGCAATTAATTCTAGTTAAGATAAAATACTTTTTGAGTCTCAATGTTGTTAAACCTAAAAATGGTGTATACATGAACGAATTGAATACTTCATTAAGTTTATGATGTTGCGCATTTAGAATTTCAGCACTCGGTGCATATTCACAAAATATATATTTTGTGAATTATATGCTTACGTGAAATGTGGCATAATATTCTAGTGCAACATGTCGAAACATCCATTCTTTGACATTAGAGAAACAATTCTGCGACTGAGAAATAAAACCCATCCTTGTGCTTTCTGCAAGCCATTTATTGTAGAGATAGGAATTCTAGGATTATCATGTCTGATAATTTGGGAATCAATGGCTTTTGTGAGAACTTACTTTCTCAACGGTGGTCACTTATTTCCATGCAATACCAGTATCTATAAAAAGCACAGGACAAAGAAATCTTTTTTGTCAGGTTTCAGTATCAAATGTCCAATACAAAAATTCTACCTACACTATATAAGGAATGCTTCAAAACATTGCTTAGCTGTAATTACAAAATTAAAATTGATTCACCACCTCAAATCGCATAATTAAATATGTCCTGTTGCTTGGTGGTTTTAATGCAATTAAAGGCTGTTCTGAATGCGAAAACCGAAAATAATGTGTATTTTATAATATGATTTATAATTCAAAAAATATACTTTTGCTTTAGTTATCGTTTGTGTTCTATGCTTCTATATGTCTGAAAAAACGTGTAACAACTTGTCGTTCAATGATCTTGATATCTTACTCCACTTCTCAAATTCGTAGATGGTCCCTTGGCCTACATCTGGATACTTAACTTTTATTACGTTTCTCCTGAAACGTGACATTAAATTTTACGTATTTTTTGGCGACATAAAAAGTAACAAAATTTTAATAAATCCTAATTTGGTAGTTGGCAAATAATTCGAAACGAAAAATTTGAAAGTTTAGGAATATTGATAGGAAATTATTTTAATAAGAACGTTAGTGGATTCAATAAATAGACCTTCAGTTTTCCATAAATTATAGGCTAATTTATTAATTAGAGGTTGCAATAGAACATTGATGATCAAATCGCTTTGTACAGAGTATGAAAGCGTGAGCATGGTATAACCTCATAGAGAGAGCTGAACTTCTTACTCTTCGTCTTTGTTTTTCCCCTTGCCCTTCCCCTTCCCTTTTCCCTTCCCCTTCCCTTTGCCCTTGCCCTTCTTGTCGCCCTCTTCTTCCTCTGCCGCTTCCGTGTCCTCTTCCTCGGGGCTGCGGCGCCGGCGGGTTTCTGCGTCGAAGGCGTCGGCGGCGAACAGCTCCTGTGGCTCGAAGCCGTTCACCAGCATCTCGTCCAAGGCCTTGCCTTTGCCGTCGGACTTGCCCGCGTTCTCCGGCTTGTTCTCGTTGGGCGCCAACGGTGACGGCTCGTAGTCAGCGCTGCGCTTCTCTTTCTCTTCCGGTTTGCCCGCATCTTCCGGCTTGCCCGCGTCTTCCGGCTTGCCCGTGCCCTCCGGCATGCTGACGTTGTCCGGCTTGCCCGCGTCCTCGGGCTTGCCCTCCTCCTCAGCGCTGCGCCTTCTCCTTTCCGGCTTACCCGCGCCCTCCGGCTTGCCTGCGCCCTCCGGCTTGCCTGCGCCCTCGGGCTTGCCTGCGCCTGCGGGCTTGCCCGCGCCTGCCGGCTTGCCCTTCGGGTGGGCTTCGCACGCAACGTACAGCAGCACGAAGAGTGTCAACTGGGAAGAGAAAGCACATTAAACGGATTAGCTATAATGAGCTTAGTACGTCGGTGACGTTTTACATTGCTTAAAATAAGTATTTTCATTTGCTAAACTTGTTTAGTACGCGACTTCTTGTCGGATGTCCTTTCTGGTTACGTCCACTACCCACCCCACAATACGATGTTGAGGAACCTAATGTGAACCCTGCCAAGAATAGTGTGAGTTGGAGTGTGCGTGTGTCTCAGAGTAAGGGGAGAATGTAGGACAAAGAAGAGGTATGAAAGTTGGCGCGCTGTCTGTGGACCGTTTGTGCGTCCTGCTCCGGCATTCGCCAGGTATAGATTAGAGAAACCACGGAGAACCACCGATCGGAGCAGCGGGCCGCGAGAATTCTCCCCCAGACAACGGCTGAATTCGACCCAGCTATGTAGCTAGTGATGAAAATACGCCAGCGTCGGGTCACGAACTGTAAGACGTTCCAGTTGCACAGACTGCAGCAGGCACTAAGCTACCCTTAGCCAAGAGAATTGAAGTTCAGAGGCCAGTAGAATGTAACAGCAAACTCTCTTAAAGATGACAGAGATTAAACTAATTATAATGACTCTTTTTAGTTGGCTTATTGAAAACACAATGAAATTTTCAAGTTTGCTTTATTACACCCACATGGCTTTATTAAATTTTAAACTAGTAGTCTTGAAACAGCATTTTCTCGCCCGTACTTT